GATTCCTCAAAAGTCCAATGATTTAAAATCCAGAAAGACACCAGAAAGCAACGAACATAGCCATACACTATAAAATGGGTTACTCCAAACAAGATTACTTAGCGGGTAGCACGAAATAAATGTAGCTTCACTTTTCAAAGTACAGCTCTCCTTAGTATTTTACGTATACACAAAACTCTGGTCGTATACTGTATGGAAATACTCAATTGCTGTCCTAGTCAGCCTGGGCTCCTCTCACCTGCCATGGGAACTGATGTTGCTTTGCATCCTATTCAACTGAACTGGACAGACCGCGCCGCAAAACCCCACTCTTCAACTTAGACAAAAATCAAGATATTTACTTGAAAATGTCTACGAAATATAATCCACATTTTCTCCTCTCTTGCTGCGCAGACCAGCTATGGAACTGATTTGCCCAGCCTCGGCACAGAGTTGTATTCCTGGTTTCAGACGTACTGTACTTGGAAAATTAAATTAGGAAAATCTTTTTAATATGGTTAATTCTGTTTCCTGTTTCTGACTTTGGATGTCACACAAAGCTAGCCCCAAAATACAGTGAATAATCAGGGTTTGAGACCATTACCAAAGAAAAAAAAAAAAAGAAAAAAAAGTTGTGTGATGAATGATCCACTTAAAATGAGTAAGTGTAAATATGCACCACAATTGTGGAAATGTTTAGATATACTCAGGCACTCTTACTGTACAGAGGAATAAATGACACTGACAGTAATGCTGAAAAGCCATCAGAAGGGGGCTGTATTTGATGTATATACTTTTTTTCATAACTGTTGCAACCAGCTGCTAGAGACTGGAGCCAGAGGAAGAAGAGCCCGGATTCTGGCTCCCGTGTTCCTGGGGAGGAATCCCGCCTCCACGGGCAGATCCGTCCACTTCATTTTAATCCTGATTAAACTGCACCTCAGTCAGCAAAGGAAACCCGGTGGCTGCTTTGCTTTCAGCGAAGCCTGCTGCAGTACTACAATGCTACTCAGGGCCAGTATGGGCTACCACATCCAGCCCAATCTCGTCAACGTCCCTGAAATCTGCCAGGGGACATCGCTTTAAAACAAGTTAATGTTCCAAGTGGGTTCACAACGAAATACTACTTGGCCCTCGCTTTACTAATACAAATACTACTATACCCACATGATCAAACACAAGCGGTCCACTGATGCGTCAAGATAATTAAGTCCTTTTCCCCCTTTTTTCAACAAGATGCGTTTAGGTATTTAATTAAGAAGTGCATCCCCAAAAGGTTCGTACATTCACATGTTATATTTCACTTTTTCCGCACCAAGCATTTTCAAACTGCTGCTGTTGCTAATACAGACTATGCTGGGGCAAGACAAATATCTGCACATATGGCTCTTTTACAGTTTTCTTTTTAAATTATCACTTTAATTTAATTAGGTTTGAGGGGCTAAGCATAAAAAAAATGTACTCTTTTGTTGTAACGGAACAACAGAAACAAAAACTCATTAATATGCAGTCCCTTTAGCGTTTCTATCCATCTCTTTCTTACGCCATCGTTACTGGCCCATAAAGCTGCCTGAACCCCTGAACCATGCTTGTCACTACAGATAGATAGCCTGACCCTTCCTCTCAACCCACCTACCCCCCAAAAAGGTGGGGGCCACAGAATAAGTAAGTAAGTTCTTCAAACAGTTTTAATACCCAAAGCGGGGAGGGGCGGGAGGGGAAGAAGCAGGGAAGCACCGGGGCTGAAACCCAGTAACCCAGTCTCTGCTGATTGAGGAGCCGAAGGAAAAGTTGCTCTTACAGGAGACGGCACTGAAACACTAGGCAGGGGTAGATGCTTGGGTCCAGGGGTGGTTGCTCTTTCTCTCACAGTTTGGGATGTTTGAATTCTCGTTCTGATGTAGCTTATTGTAGAGGTATAATGAATGCAGCGAACGCCAGATCAGAGCCGATTCTGGCTCGATAATCGCTCTGGCCCCGTTCACCCCGCTTGGAGAACTAAGGGCCGTCCCTACCACCGTGGCCATTTCCTGTTCTCTCCCGATAACAGCGGAAAAATACTTAGACAGCTTCAGATAAGAAGATAAGAAAAGCTCATAAAACAAAAAGTGTATTTAACTCTGCTGAGAAGCTCAGAGGAGGATGCTGAGATGCAGTGATATGAATCTCGCTGCCAGGGAGCGTGGGGGCTGGTCCACCAACTACTCAGCTAATACATTTATTTTCCACGAGGCAATGGAAAAGGAAGGTATGAAAGCAGAAGCCCTAGCAATGCTCACGGCCTCCTTAGCCTGCTTCAAAAGATAAAGATGGTTGGGGAATGGAGAAGAAAAGCAAAACAAGACATAATACTAGCAGCAAGTACTGGAAAAAAATGTACACGCACACTTCCCCTTCCCCGCCTCTCCTTTGTAAATTGTAACTATGTGTTTGCTGTATGAAGACAACACCTTAAGTTTTTTCTCCTTTTCAAGGTATCACAAAGGAAGATTGAATTTTTTTTCAGAAATAAAACCAAGTCAGCTGGCTCCAGACCCACTGAAAATCAGAAGACTGAAACCAGTTTGGAGTGTAACTTCCACACGTCCTATTTCTATTGCGCTCAACAGAATGCAACTGAAGAGACTAGAGGGGTGTTTCCACTTCAAAGGAGACGGACTGAATGGAGGATGACTTTGGGAAAAGAGGGTGGGTAAAAATCACTTCAATGTTCAGGCATTTTTGGAAAGGTATAAATAAAACAGAGGGAAAACTTTGCCTGGTGCTATACGATGAGGAAACTTCCTGAAGAGGGCACAGTTAAACTGTTGATTCATTGCCTCACTGAGGCACCACATACACATACATGAAGATCCCCAGGGCAAACACCAAGCAGAAAACCCCTCAGCTCTGGGAAAGATGCCAAAACCAGGTCTGCACCCGAATTCTGTGCCTGGTCCTAACAAACGGGAAATCAAAATAAAAGCCTATGTGGAAAAACAAGTCCAAGACGAATGACTGTATCCCAACCACATTCCCTGGATTTTCCACTCTGTCGTGAAAGTTTATCAGACGCCGCAGAACGGGAAGCGTCGCTGGAGAGCTCTCCGTCCCTTTCTGGGCAGGCGAGCACACCTGTGTCCTGCGACAGGTCCCACACAGGCGGGGGGCCCGGCTCCTCTCCCCTCCCCTCGCGGCATTTCTGTCCCCCAGCGTTGTGTTACGGGGGGTATGCGTGGCAAGCGGAAACCATCTGAAAGCGCGGGGTATGCCCTGTGGCACTGCGATGTGCGCTCTGAAGCGGCGGAAGGCGGGGGGTCCTCTCTTCCCCGCTCAGGCCATCTGTCACGCGAATTACCCGTGTCCCGCCAGCAGAGCAGGCAGGCTCCTTTCTGCTCCAGGTCCAACCATCTGAGCAGATCTTTCCTCTTCAGCACCCCCCCATCTACACAGACTGATATATACCCACTGACATCTAGGTCTCCGTGCACATGGTACTATTAAAACCTTTAAATACACAACATCAAACCTGTCCTATCTCGAACACGAAACCAACCAGCGAAAGGAAACGATAGGTACACAAGACAGAAGAAACGATACATAAGGGATTTTTATGCTCTCGTTCTCTGCCACCCCCTTTTCAGGACCAGGTTTCTGATCTTCCTGCGAGATAAACGCCCTGTATGGGCGAGGGAACGTGACTCTGAGGATGGAGCAAGTACCAGCGGGAAATGGATTAGCACGGTTACATGTACAGACACGATGTACAGTGCATCCAGCCCACCGGCAGCAAGCCTACGGCTCCCGACAGCCTGCCAGGGGCACCGGGACTCAGAGCAACCAGCACGGCTCTCCTCTCAGAAAGGCCACAGAGGAGTGCACTTCGTAATGGCTGGGTGCGAGCACGGGGTCAGATCTGTGCAGTTGTCTCAAGTGCCTCTCCACAGACAGGATGGGGGGAAAACCAAGAATTCTTCCACTTGCATTACGCTAACAACTCCAAATCAAAGCTCTGGTGCATATTATTATTTCTTGGTGGCATATATGGAAAACAAACCAAAACAGCTTCTAAAATTCCTTTTCTCTTGCTAACCATATAACCAGGATTTCCAAGCGCTTCAATGAACCCGCACATCCTTGCTACGCACGGCTCTGCCCACATGCAGCAGCACCCTCTCTCTCCAGCGCTGAGAAGGCTGTAGAAAAGTATTTCCCAGCAAAAGCCACCCATTTCCACTTCAGGTCTAACTCCTGGGAAGAGAGTAGAAAAACACCGAGAAAGTTTATCCGGCATCAGCTTGCAGGAGAAAAAGCCTCCTGCAGCGGCTGTCCGCCGGGGGGGGGGACACGCCGAGCCAGGGCTCTTTGTGATGCTCTCAAGACATCGCTAAACACGCACTGAGAAGCAAGACGCTTTCACTTGGAAAGGGGAATTTATACACGGGCTACACGGAAAACAGATCTAGATGTACTGCAGAACGCCCGGCAAGGTAGGGGGGGAAAAAACAAACAAACAAAAAGCATAAACACAGAAACACGGTAACTCCCTTCGAGTACATCCCGCTTTAGGCAGGCAGAAGGAGGGTGTGAGGGGCAGAGGGGGGCACACGAGCGACCAGCGCCGGCGGAGCCCCGGGGCAGGGCTGTGCCGCTGCTCCCGGGGCCGGGGCTGGCCCCCTCCGGGGGGCCCCCGCCCCCGCCCCTGCCTTTCCCACGCCCCTCGCCAGCCCCCGGCGCCGCTCCCCCGCCCCGGAGGGCTGCCGGCCGGGCTCCTGCAGCCCAAAGCCCCCCCTCCGGCCCCGGTGCTCCGCCTGAGGACGGAGTGCAGGGAAACGCCTGTCCCGGCCAGGCTCAGCACCGACACACCCGAGCCGGCGGGGGAGACCGGACCCCCCAGACGCCGGCGGGGGCCGTGCATGCGGGGGAATGCGCTGCGTGCACATATACAGACAGGGGAAAAAAAAAAATCACGGCATAAATTCGCATTTCCAGCCCGCACCCGGAGGATGCCCCGGCCCCTCTCCATCCATCCCCCGCCTTACCTTGCGCCGCGGAGCCGGGGCGGCTGGCCCCCAGGACGGCCAGGGCGGGGAGCACCACGGTCTGCAGCAGGTATCCCAGTCCCAGCCCGCAGCGGGCCGCCGTCCCCTCCAGCCCCTTCCCCATGGCCGGGGCAGCGGGGGAGGCGCGCAGAGCCGCGGGGCTTTGCCGGGC